AATAACCATTAGTACCTCTGCAGAGGCCAGAGATCACCGTAACTGAAGTAGGGGTGCTCCTTGAGTGCTCTTAAATTCTGAGCCAACTCTCCACCCTCCCTTCTGCTTTCTTTTTAAGTTGCTTATTGTTTTTAACAGTGATGCTCAAGAATCCTGCATGTCTGCCTGCCTGTGTCAAGCTTGCCCCTGCATGCCTTGGCAGCAATCGTAAGTTGGCTCTCCCACCTCCGTCCCATGCTTCTCAGCACATGCTTCAGCATACAGGCAAAGGCTACAAGTCGCACTAACAAGTTAGCCTAAGTGGCTCCCTAGAAGCCCGTGGTGGTTTGAGTAGGAACGGCCTCCGTTGGTTCATAGATTTGAAAACTTAGTCACCATGGAGTGGCACTGTTTGAAAGGATTAGGAGGTGTGGCCTTGGTGGAAGAAGTGAGTCACTGTGGGTGGGGTCTGAGTTTTCAGAAGCCCCAAGCTGGGTTGAATCTCTGTCTCTCTGTCTCTCTCCCTCCCTCACCTATGGATCTGCATGTAGATCTCTGAGCTGCTTCTCTAGCACCATGTTTGTCTACCATGCTTCCCAACATGATCATGGACTAAACCTCGGAGACTATACGCAAGCACCAATTAAATGCTTTCTCGAATAAGAGTTGTTGTGGTCTTGGTGTCTCTTTACAGCAGTAATCACTAAGGTATCGGTCATAATGTTAGCCCGCTGAGGACTATGGAGAAGGCTGGGCTATGTGTGCTTGTGTGATGATCTGTGAGCAAGGAACACAGCCTCATGTTACACTCAAGCCGCCGTGCCCACAGCAGACACATCTGGACACATCGCTCCTAAGCAACCAGGCTGTGTGGTGGTTATTTTGCCTTCAACTCATCCTTCTACTGGACTCATTATGCAAAGGGAAGATAGTATTATAGGATGAATTTTCTTAGACATTGACAAAGTAAAAAATTAAAGACTTACATCAAAAAAAGTTTCTGATTTAATCATAAAAGGTAGAATAAGACTACGTCAATTGTCAGGAACAAACCTGACAGATATTGTAATACCTTATACTAATGCTGAGATTATGCCATTATTGGGTTTTCAGTGAAGACTGGCAAAGAGCTTGTAGCAACTCTTTGGGAGAAACTGACAACAAATATTCTAAAGGCAAGCATCTTTAGTTTGTATAGTAAAAAAAAAATGGATTTTCCAATGTATTATAAAATTCCAGAAGCACTTACATTCTATACTGATGCCAATAAGTTGGGAATGGCAGATAATAAGTCAGACAAAATGACCAAAGTAATACAAAGCCCCTATATTTCAGTTCACAAATCAGAGTTGTATCCAATTCTTATTAGGTATTATTAGATTTCCCTGACCCTCTTAATATAATTACTGACCCTCAATATGCAGGAAGAGTTGTTTTCCATATAGAAACTGTTGAATTTATTCCTGATAATTCAGAGTTAACGTTGTTTTTTTATGCAACTGCAAGACAATCAGAATTTGAAACTATCCATCATATATCACCAATATTCAGTATCATACAGGTTTGCCAGTTCCATTAGCACAAGGAAATGAGGAAATTAATGTGTTAGAAGCATCAAAATTCCATATAAAACACCATGTTAACAGTAAAGGTTTAAAGAAAGAAATTCTATCTCTTGACAATAAGCCAAGAATTATAAGGAAATGTCCTACCTGTTCTTTGTACAACCAAACTCCAGTGCCTGCCGGAAGTAACCCTAGGGGCACTAAAGAAATGAAATCTGGCAGATGGATGCATTTCATTTTGCAAAATTTGGAAAACTAACGTTTGTGCACCATACCAGTGATGCATACTCAGGGTTTCAGTGGGAAACTGCTTTGAATTCTGAAAAGGTTGATTCTGTGATTACACATTTACTGGAGTTAATGACTATTATGGGATACCTGTGCAAATTCAGACTGACAGTGCTCCCACATATGTCTCCAGTTAGATGAAGCAATTCTTTGTGTATTACAATATAAAGCACACTACAGGTATAACACACAATCTTCAGGACCAGCAGTCATAGAAAGATCTAATCGCACCTTAAAAGAAATGCTTATAAAACAAAAAGGAAGAATAAAGACCCCCCCCAGATATACTTAATAGTGCTCTGTTAACTTTTAATTTTCTGAATGTTAATGAGAAGCACTGGGTTATAGAAGACACTGTGAAATTAAATCAGCTGATATATGATAAGGATATGTTAACATCAGATGGAGGCTAGGGGTGCTGATTTGTTTATATTTCTACAGGAAATAAAAAGCTCTGGATATCAAAAGTCATAAAAATTAGATTTGAGCAGGACTCTCCTGAAAACCTTGGCCACTGACTCAAAAGGCACTTATTTCATTAAAAATGTCTCCATTAATAATTCTCCCCCTATGCACAGCACAATTAATGCCTTAAAAAAGAAGAGGGAAGTTGTAGTGACAATTTTTGAATTTAGTTTTTTTTTTTTAACAAACCAGAAACATCATAAGAATGTGCTCTTGTCTTAAACCTAGGTTCCACAGCAGCTGACTATGATTTGACTCCTGCTCTAGCAGAAGTGTGATTTTGCCAGGTGCCGATAGTTTCTGCAAGTGTGTGACATTTGAAATTCTGGGAACTTTTCAGAGGAGATATAAATGCTAGGGCCCGGATAGGCAGGGTAGATTGTTGGTTGGTTGTTGCTGGTCGTGGTTTGTTAAGTAGTCATGCACAAAGAAGAAATTTGATATTTTGATGGTGAAGATCAAACTCATCCCAAGGAACTCGACACCCCTAATCAGCAAGAAGTAGTCTAACAATAACATCGACCTCTTTCTGATCCCTGACTTAGTTCAGGGATCTCCTTCATTTCCTCTCTATCCTTTTTTTCTCTCTAAGTGTTAGGGGATCGAAAGGGTTGAAGAAAAGGGGTAGAGAAGGATAGAAAAAAGAAGAATCTGCAAAGTAGCTAAAGTCAGCTACAACTGAGTAGCTACTGGGTTCTTGGCTCTCCAGTGTGAAGATAGCCACTTTTGGATTACCCAGGCCATACTGTGTAAGTAATCTAATAAATGCCCTTTTTATATATACTCATTCTATAGGTTTTGTTCCTCTAGTGAACTCTTGCACAGCTGTAAAATTAGTATGAAATCCAACTTTTGGACTCCCAAACTTAAGCTGACTGGGAATGAAGACAAATCTCAATAGAAAGCATCATCAGTGTGGGTCTGGAGGCCGGGCTCAGCAGTTAAGAGCACTGGTTGCTCTTCCAGAGGACTCTGGTCCCATTCTCAGCACCCACACAGCGGCTTGCAACCCTTTTGGAGTTTGGATGCTCTCTTCTGGCCTCCTCAGGCACTGCATACACATGATACACAGATATACATGCAGGCAAGACACCTGTACTAACATAAAATAGACACAAATCTCACAATACCCAAAGTAACAAACAACACAGACACAGAATTTCCTAGTTGAGTTTCTCGTTATATCACTTGAGCTCACTCAGTAGGTTACAGCTCTGATGTGGTAGGCAACCACTCTATATGCTGGGTCTATATTCTACAGAAACAAATCGAGTTTGTGTGGACTTAAGAATTACTGAAGTTCATGTGAGACACTCACTTTGCCCTCAGGAATACAAACAAGTGAGAGATGGAAACTAAGGGTAGCAAGCATGTCACCCCTACAGTCGGGCTAGCGGCTGAACTGATATTTCAATACTCACAGCCTTAAAGACAGGAGCTGCTTACCTGCTATCCTCACGTTCTGGAGGCAAGGATTATGACTTCAAGGCCAGTCAGCTAAGGTTACATAGTGAGACCTTATATAAAAAATACAGTAGTTGTAGTTTTTACATAAAAGTAAGTAAAACAAGAAAGAGTAGGGTTTTTTTTTTTGTTTGTTTGTTTTAGATACCATCTGTAGACCAGGTTGACCTTGAACTCAAAGATCCACCTACCTCTGCCTCCCTGGTGCTGAGATTAAAGGTGTGTGCCCCCATGCCTATGAATTGTTGCTTTCCTTACAGAGAGAACAGGAAGTGGTTGGGTGGTACAGCATGTGTCTGACATACTCAAGGTCCTGTGTTCCATTGCAGCATGCAAAGGAATAAAATCTGACTAATGTATTCTGATCAAAGGATGACTTCTCTGGGTGACAGTATCTCACATCTATCCTAAGCTCAATCGTGAAATGTAATGGAGTCTAAAATCCACAGGCCAGTAGGAGCCAGACAAAGGCAGGGAGAGGTCAAGCCTCAGCCCCATGCAGGAGGGAATGAGGGTGCCATGCAACCAGGTCTAACAGGCATTCTCTGGAATCCCACATCGTGAATGTCGGAATTGGGTAAAAACCAAAAATACAAGGACAAACAAAATGAGAGCTGAATCTTGCCGGGCAGTGGTGGCACACGCCTTTAATCCCAGCACTTGGGAGGCAGAGGCAGGAGGATTTCTGAGTTCGAGGCCAGCCTGGTCTACAGAGTGAGTTCCAGGACAGCCTGGGCTACACAGAGAAACCCTGTCTTGAAAAACCAAAAAAGAGAGAGAGAGAGAGAGAGAGAGAGAGAGCGAGAGAGAGCTGAATCTCAGCACAGGCTGCTAGTCCTGTGTTAGTTCCAGTGGGGGAACACTTCAATTAGAAAACATTTAGGAAGTCTAGGCCTTGCGGAAGGGAGTGTGGTCAAGGCACTGTGGTGACTTGGTTCATAGGGTTGGAAGGGATCTGGGAACAGCAGTCAGGAAGCCTGAGGACCATCTGTCAGGCCTGGAGTGCAAATGAACAGCAGTAGGAACCCAGTGGGTTCTGAGGATGCCAGCTGGTATCTAAATACCAATCAGGCAACCCCCTGCCTCAGAAACCAGAGCCCTGCCCTGTCCCCTCCTCAGGTACAAAGAAAGAGGCCTATCAACTGCTACTGTGCTGCTCCACATATAAATATTTGAGAGACTGACAGAGAGGTAGATGAGATGGCCTTTATTTATAAAATAATGCAAATGCCACATGGAATTAAGAAATGGTTCCAGTTTTTATTTGTAAATTGTCAAAACTGCAAAAGGAGATTTACAGTCAGTAGCAAAACAGGTGGACGATGAAACACCTCAGACACACTTTGAAAAGAAGCCGCACAAGGCCTCTCTGGTCAACCCCTGCAGCACAACACTTAGGCTCACTCCTGCATTCTCAGTGAGCTCCTTACAACTGGCCTTTCTCTTTCCCAACTTTTGGAGACTTGGCTTTGCATTCAAAAATTATTTTTCGGTCTTTGCCTGGTTCCAGCATGGTGATAACCACCTGTCAGGAGACAAAACAGTTGTTAAGTGGAAGGACTTTAAAATCTCCAAAATCCCAAGCAGTAGACCCTGCCTTGGGTTCCTCCTGCCAGCCAGCCTCAAGACCCTGGATTCTCTGAGGTTCCCATAGCTCAGTGATTGCTGACAAGGGATGGAAACTTTGCTTACATTCCTGGCTGGCAAGATGCTCTGCTTAGAAAAAAATCTGGATTCTCACCAGCTACTAGGTTAACAATGCGGGTACTAAAGAAGACGAGACCCTAACCAGGCAGTTTACAAATCTGAGGCTCAGCTTCTCCAGCATGTGAAATGAGAGTGAAAGGGGGAACAGTGCTTCATCAAGAATGGCAAGACAGAAGCACCTCTAACATAGCGGTCCTCAACCTTCCTAATGCTGTGACCCTTTAATACAGCTTCTCATGCTGTGGTGACCCCCAACCAGAAAAGTATTTCATTGCTACTTCAGACCTGTACATTTGCTACTGTTATGAATCGTAGTGTAAATATCGGAGATGGAACCCCTGTGGGATCTTGACCCACAGGTTGCAAACTGCTGCTGTAGTCTCTTGTTGATGCGGCTAAGCCTGCCTGGACATGACCACCTGTTCAGAAAGCTCTGACATGCCCTCACCCCGCCAGGGAACCCTTGCTGGGTTGGATGTCCACGTAGACAGCTGGGCCCTTAGCCTTCTTAAGCTGTACCCACTTGATGTTGATGACATACTGGTTTCTGCACACTAGGACTACCTTGCCGATCTGCTGACCTTTGTGGTACCCTCAAACCACCCAGGACAGCACAGCACAGGGAGGAAGCTGTCAGGAACACATGGGATGAACATATAAATTTCTGAACAAAACAGTCTTGGCACCCAGAGCTAGCTTTGTGTGTGTGTGTGTGTGCTGTACACTTGTCTTGTGGTTGCCTGATGTCTCATGTCAGACCCCAGCACCACAACCACAAAACTACCCTGTGCCTGGTTGTGAAGTTGGCAGTGGAGAATGTGCTTATGACTCACAGGCCCTGGCACTGCAGAGGTCTACCGTGGTAACACATGCCGTAATTCCAGCACTCAGAAAGATCATAAATCCAACGTCATCCTCAGCTACGTGTTGTGCATTATTTAACTTGAGTTTCAGTTTCTTCACACCTGAAAGAGAACGCAATTCATATACACATATATGAGGTATGAACACCCCCCACACACATATAAACTCCTTTATAAACTATATATATATGTAAATACACACACACACACACTTTTTCTTTTTCTATTCACCTAGTGTTGACAGAGCCCTCTTAGGAGCCAGGCTCTGGACTGAGACCAGCCAGCAAACAAGACGGCTCTCTGGCACAGAGAGCTCAAGTGTGAGAGGCAGTAAAGAGTTAACAAGTAAATATACAAGTGTCATCACTGATCAGAAGAGGAGACATGAGAAGTGACTAAGCTGACACAAATGGCTTTTGTCACAATAGGACAAGTGTTGGGATTACAGGGAGATGACCCCACCCTGTGAGGGCTGAGTGTCATGTCAAGTCTTGACATTTGCTGAGATATGTCACTTATTAAGATATAGAAGTTGAAGAAAATCAGATTTTGCCGGGCGATGGTGGCGCACGCCTTTAATCCCAGCACTTGGGAGGCAGAGGCAGGCGGATTTCTGAGTTCGAGGCCAGCCTGGTCTACAGAGTGAGTTTCCAGGACAGCCAGGGCTATACAGAGAAATCCTGTCTTGAAAAGAAACCAAAAAGACAGACAGACAGACAGACAGAGAGAGAGAGAGAGAGAGAGAGAGAGAGAGAGAGAGAGAGAGAGA